GCAATTGGTGCACCAGGCGAACCTGGGCAAATGCCCCCCTGGTCACAGCCGACAAATGATGTTCTAAGGTAACACTGCAATGCTCACATATCAATAGAAAATAATATTTGTAGCTAAGGGTTGAACTGTGGGGTACTTGTTGCTCTCTGAGCTTGGTTTCTTTTTCTTGCGGACATTTTCTTGCCCAACTAGGTAACATCATCAGTGTTAAAAGGCAGTTGGGTTTACTGTCTGTTTATATACAAGTGACTTGCCCTGTCTATATTGGTGGGAGTGTTTTTGGTGGTTGCTTGATTGGACTTTGTTTTCTGCAAGAAAGCAACTGAGCTCAACAAAAACCAAGGACCCCACTCTCACATTCTGTCTCTCACATACACACATGTGCACACACAAGCAAAAATGCGCCTTCCCCATACCCTATACAGAGAAAGCCTAGTCATGCTTCCTAGATAGAACTCTGTGCAGATATGCAGACACATAGTTTTTCAATGACAACCCCTACTCAGTTCTGAATTAAGATTCCTTATAACAGCTCCATGGAGAGTTGTTTATGGATAAACTCTATGCTACAAACTATGCTGGGCATTTGGAGATCCTGATCAAAAAAATATATCTACCAAAACACATGGGGACCATTGCAAGGACAAAATTAATCTACCAGCTCTATGACTGTAGGCTTTTTGCTTTAAAATTTTTATACAATGCCCTTAGCCTCCCAGAACAATTGATAAAATATTATTTTACACCCACCCACTCACCAATGCGGTATAATGAATGATAGATAGTTGAAATATTCTGGCATCAAAAAGATAATCTGGCATCAAAAGGATGATCCCAGATTTGGCCCTCTGGGTTTTCGGCTGCTTGAAATAACACATTTGGAATCTGATTGAACTGGCAGATCAACCCAACTTCAAAACAACAAAGGGTAGCCTTTTTTTGCTAATTGATAGAGTGCCAGATAAACCATGTGATATCCCCTCTGTGTTCTCCATCTCTTTCTCACCGTTTCTCTGCAGCTGTCTCTTCTTCCCTTATGAGTAAACTAGTCCTGATGTTCACAAACACTTGGATGAGAATCATATCTGCAGTTCACTCCACCCCAACCCTCCTTGTTAAATACTCATCCTGCTCACACATCTGAATTTAACACTGAAAGTGAAAATGGGACTTCTTGAGATGGTGTTTGATACAGCTCAAACTTTTACCTCTGTTTTATAACTAGGATGAACTGAAGGCAGATCTGGTTCAGCAAACCAATCTGGTCAATAAGCATGAGAATTTTGCCTCTTAGTTTTATTATTCATTTTCATTCATAACTTCTTTTCCTTAAAGAATTACAAAACAATGTTTCGGTCATTCAGAAATCCTATTGGCATGGATTGGAAGCACTTGAGTTTTACTAGTTGAGATATAGTACTGGGAAGACACATTTTTGAAAAACTTAGAGCAGAGGTGGTATTCAGCCAATTCTGACAGATTCTGGAGAACTGGTAGCAGAAATTTTGAGTAGTTCGGAGAACTGGCAAATAGGCTGGCCCCTCCCTTGCCGCCTCCTGTCCTCCCAGCTGATCTTCTTTTGTTGTCCAGAACAGGAGAACGGAGCTGGAAAACAGGTTAGTGGGGTGGGGAGGGAACGGGGATTTTGCAGTAACCTTCCCCTGCCATGCCCACAAAGCCATGCCCACAGAACCGGTAATAAAAACATTTGAATCCCACCACTGACCTAGACAATTTTATATCAGGCACTTGCTGGTGATACTTAAAAAGAAAATCTGATCCCCCAAGTCCACATATCACTTCTGCATTAAAAGAAGCACAGATCAAGGATCTGGGATGACTTCTCAGTGATCTCTGCGTTAATCTTATTTCCATCAAAAGCAGTGACTATCTAGAGATTGTCCTTTTTTAATTGTGAGGTTCTCTCCATCAGTTTCCAAGTTTGAGGAAGCACAGTACAGACAAAGAAAATCCTGTAACTTATTAAATAACCAATGGTGACCTTGGGAAGTCACCAAAATTTCACTACATTTGAATCCAAAGGAGGGTTTTTTCAAAATTGGAAATAGGGTTGGATGAGCATCTGAAGATCCAAGTTTGAATTCTTATTCCATCTCAGGGTTCACTGGTGACTTCAGACCAGTCACATTTCTCAGCTTAACCTACCTCAAACAAGAAGGATAAATCACATTGAATTTGGTAGAAGAATGACTGGTGGAAATGTAACAAATGAACAAAGCAAAGGGTTCTTTTATGTACAGTTGTACAATTGTAATACAAAACATCGATATTCAGCTAAGACAAGGACTTTCCTGCAGGCCAGGAGACAGCTTCTGAGGGTTTCTAGGCTTAACTGAGTAAGTCTGTCTAATAAACTGGTCCCAAATGCTAGGCTGAGATTAGAAATTGTGTTTTGATTATTGATTATTACTATTCGTTCTGCCCATCCATAGAGTATATGTTCTAGCTTTCCAGCACATTGGGATTCACAGCAATTTAATTGCCTCATGAAGATCTGGCAGTAGTTGCTTTTCCAACATTAAAAAAGGAAGCACCTGGTGGATTTCAAGATTTACATTCTGCAGAACAGAAATAAATGGTTAGAGTGACCTTATTAACTACCGCTCCCATGGGGCTAGTCATTTCCTGGTGCAAAAAGCAAGAACTGAGAAACTGGGCCATCAGAAATAATTATGTGTAAAGCCGTTACCCCACAAGACAGAATTACCTGAGGAAAAAAGAATTAAGTATGAATCAGCCTAAGATTTAGCCAGCGGGAAAATCCATAAAGATGGATTCTACTGCCCTCTTGTGAAACTTGTTCCTAATTAGAGCTCTGGACTCTGAAAGTGGGGGAATTCGGTGCTGCTGTTGTCTAAGATGCAGAAACTCTGAGCCACAACTGCATCTTAGAAAGATGCTCAAGTGGCAGGAGGAAAGAGGAAGGCCTCAAAAAGCTGGCCTGTGGTGATCTAATGGCATCTACCTCTGTAAGCTCCAGTACTGAGACAATTCAGTTTTCCTGCTCCTTACTCTTTAAGGTGGCTCAGTGGCTATGATGCTGAGCTTGTCAATCAGAAAGGTCAGCAGTTCGGTGGTTAGAATCCCTAGCGCCACATAACGGAATGAGCTCCCCTTACTTGTCCCAGCTTCTGCCAACCTACCAGTTTGAAAGCACGTAAAAAATGCAAATAGAAAAATAGGAACCACCTTTGGTGGGAAGGTAACAGCATTCCATGCGCCTTTGACGTTGAGTCATGCCAGCCACATAACTACAAAAACATCTTCAGACAGCATTGGCTCTTCGGCTTTGAAACGGAGATGAGCACCGCCCCCTAGAGTTGGGACGCCTAGCACATATGTGTGAGGGGAACCTTTACCTTTACCTTACTCTTTACTGAAACCTCCTGATACCCCTAGGAATCTTTCTTAGCATTGCCTGTCTACCTTCAAGTAAGAGATGTAACATTGTTAACCCCAGGATGACAGATATCCCCCAAATCATAGGTATGTCCCCTCCCCCCAAGAATATTTTAAAATTTTACCTCTGAACTGTAAAATCTATTTAGCTAAAATCCATATTCTCAAATATGTAAGGACTAAGGAGATAACTGGTTGACATTAGTTTCTAATATAACATAAATTCATTCAAGGTTCTTCCCCTCAATTAGCTCACTTCTTTCATCTGACTTTATCCCCTTTTCTGGACCGTAACTCCAGCATACCAATCTAATACTAGCCAAGTGTAACCTTTGACCTAACAAAAGTGATGCTAATAATACCTGGTCTGTCCTTGGTCTCCTGTTGGGGCAGAGTCAAGATGTGGTGGCCTATTACCATGATAAAGGAGCAGAACTGTCATGGCAACAGGAAATATTCTCCTTATTCCCTGACGTTCTACCCCAGGTGGCTACAGCTACAGATAATGGAGTCAGTCTTATCTCCCCAGGATAACAGGAATCAGAAACCAATGATGAATTGAGGAGATTTGTTTACCTGTGCTTCTTTAAAAGAAAGACGCATTGGTTGCCTGACTTTATTTATTATATTATATTTACAATGCAATTTCCATCAGGGACAAGGGGGTTCACAGAAAGTAGGTTAGTCTTCCATCCAGGCACTAACCAGATTCAGATGTGCTTGATTTCAGCAAGATGTATGTTCAAAACCATATCTTGAGACTTAAGATATCAGCGCTATACTTTGGTTACCTCTTTGGAATCTTAATCCACCCCATCCCACATATTCCTGAGCTCTAACGTCTTGGCCTTAATAATTATTCTCCCCTAATCCCATTCTTCTACCATGAAATTCAGGAGAATCCTCTGAAAACTCCTGTACCACCCATAGATGTTCCCGCTAATCTACAACATCTTGCACTAGACCAGTGTTTCTCAACCTTGGCGACTTTAAGTCTTGTGGACTTCAACTCCCAGGATTCTGGGAAATGAAGTCCACAGGACTTAAAGTCGCCAAGGTTGAGAAACACTGCGCTAGACAATGACTATCCTGATAAGTCACTATTCAGTCCAGTAATGGAGAATCAACTGGAAAAAGGCAAATTTATTTCTTGTCCCAGGGAAAAGTGACACCTAAATCTTGTAGACGCTCATGGTAGACGTGGTCAAAACATTCACTCTGTGCCTTAGTCAAGTGATTCTTCCAATCTCCAGAAATCCCTAGAAACCAAAACATAAAATAATAACTCATTAGAGTCAGATATGGTGGAGGAAGCATTCTACGATATTTACCTAAAAGAAATAGGTGGTTTTTCCCAAATAATTTGCTCTGAAATATAAGAGTGTCATCTTAAATTGACTAAGAACACAAAAATAGAGATAGACAATATTTTTCTGACTAATTTTAATTTTGGGGAAGATTGTTATCTTAAAATTATGGTTGTTCCCCTTTGGGATGAATACAGATTCTTCTTGTAGCTTTTAAGAAATATTGAGGACGTAGGTCTGTTCTTAAAATGTTAATGTTTGGATTTCTAAATAATTAGGTTTTTTTCTTCCACATGGAGGAAATGCATTCAGAAATCCAAGTTCTCTATGGGGCTATCACTTGGCCCTTGATATAGAATTCTTAAGAATTATGTCATCAAGATTATTTTGTTGCTGTGTTTTATCAATGCAGATATCAATGCAAATATAGCAATAGCAATTATATACAATACAATAGTAGAGTTGGAAGGGACCTTGGAGGTCTTCTAGTTCAACCCCCTGCCTAGGCAGGAAACCCTATACCGTTTCAGACAAATGGCTATCCAACATATTCTTAAAGACTTCCAGTGTTGGGGCATTCACAACTTCTGAAGGCAAGCTGTTCCACTGATTAATTGTTCTAACTGTCAGGTTCTAAGTTGTTTCTCTCCTTGATTAGTTTCCATCCATTGCTTCTTGTTCTGACCTCAGGTGCTTTGGAGAATAGTTTGACTCCCTCTTCTTTGTGGCAGCCCCTGAGATATCGGAACACTGCTATCATGTCTCCCCTAGCCCTTGTTTTCATTAAACTAGACCACTTCATAGTGCTTTTGCAGCCCTCTCTAAGCGGTTTACAGAGTTAGCATATTGCCCTCAACAATCTGGGTCCTTATTTTACCCACCTCGACAGGATGGAAGGCTGAGTCAACCTTGAGCTTATTTGAACTACCGAACTGCAGCTAGCAGTCAGATGAAGTAGCCTGCAGTACTACACTCTAACCACTGTGCCACCTCAGCTCAATATAAGAAGCCAAATGATCAGACCAGTAAAGGAAAAGATTCATGTGTCTATTTTCTTAACTATTTCAGTTAAGCAGAGCATCACAGAGTATAACAAACTTTGTACTATAAAACTAGGGATCAATTTCTCCACCCTTCTACTCCTCTGACCAGGGATACCTTGAAGAGTTGAATTCCTGCTTTCCAAGAACAACACTGTTCAACTAGGTAGACCAACCTGAGCCAAATTGTTGATCAACGCCAGGCGTAAAGCTGTGAATACAGTCCTGAAGACAATATGTCCCAGACTGATTTGTTGACCAGAGAATGGCAGGAGGCTTGACTGTGTGATGTTAAAAAGTGTGTGTCTTCCATTAGAATTAATTCACTATGTTTTAAAGTGTTTTTTCACCAGCCTGGTCCTCTGCAGACAAGCCAAACCTCATCCCCCAGAATTCAGATTGGTGCTGTGAATCCTAAGAGCTGTAGTCCAAAGCAAGTGAATCAGGCTGAAGAAAGCTAATCTTGAAAATCATTTGATTTCAACACAGGATATAAACAAGGTGGCATAAATGTTTCCAAAGAAATGCTAGAAGTGTGATAAGTATCTCGGAAAGAAGCTGAGGGAACTGAAAGGACAGAGGAGGATCCTGCCAAGTCTTACAATTCAAAATTCCTGTAGCTGGCAAGGAAAGCAAAGAGGTTGGAGTTTAGTGGTATCCCTGTAAATAATATACCCCAACCTTGACCATCTCTGCATGTGGATTTCAGCTCCCAGAATCCCACTGCCAGCATGACCACTGACATTCTGTACGTTGAAGTCCATACCCCTGAAAATGGCCAAGGTTGGGAACTGCTGCCCTAAAAGATCACCCTGGATGAGGCAAATCCAGATGGCAAATGATTCCCCTTTCCATCCCTTCATTACCTTTGCGAAAGAAAGCACTTTTCTTTTGGTTCATGATGAACTTCGGGGTGAGTGAGAAGTTGGACATCTTATTACTCTTCATGGATTCGAAGGAGGCATTCGCAACCACAGAGTCAATGGCTGCATCATCTAAATCTTTGCCTAAGAACTTGCTGATACGAACAATACTTCCTCGCAGATCCTGGAGGACAATCAGACAAGACAGCCTGAAAACCACTCTGGGTGGCACACACCTGGCATCATTAATTCTGCTCCAAACAGAAAACGTTTCAAACTCAGTTTTAACTAGCGTGTTTCTTCCAAAACCATCAATGCTCTTGCACTGTTGGAGAAACTCTAATCCAGGGAGGGGAACAAAACAATTATGCCCCCACAATATTGTTTTCAGAATGCTTTTTCAGTAAAGCATCCAAATTCATTAACTAGATTTATACATAGTGCTGAGCAATGTTTAACTGGATGTCTTTTGATCTGCCCCAATGGATTACGTCAACTCAACAAGCCAAAGCAGAACCAGACAAATGGAGGATTTAGTACAAAGTCAGAATTCAGCCATTCTTCCCCACCACCACCACCTCAAAGTTGGTTTGAATGGTGTTGCCTGAGTCTGAGAAACCCCAGATATAAAAACTCTGAGACCTATCTTGACTCAACAAATGTGTTAATGCCCCTTTCTACACTGGAGGTCCTAGCCAGTCATTATAATCTCTTTTTCATTACAATAGTGCTTGTTATTATGGCCATTATTGACCACTGTTGTATGCAGACAGGCATTTGAATCATACAGATTCAGTCTTCTTTGTTCCCTTCTTAACTGGTAAGGTATCATATTAAATGGGCAATTGAGTATTAAGACTTGGCAATTCTATAACATTTGCCTGTGTAAACATATACAGTACAATAGAAGAGAATATAACTCAGGTTTGAACTACCGTATGGAGATATTGGTGCGTGCTGAGCTTGGTTGTTTGCTTGTAGTTTTATTGCCCAACTAGGCAACATCATCATTGTTATCAGTAGCAAACTCCATAAACAACTTGTACTGAAAATATTTCCTAGTTAGGTAATGAAATGTTTCCAAGGAAACAACCAAGTTCAGAGAGCACCAAGAACTCCATACACAGTACTCATTCCTCTATGACAAAATGAATCATAAATTTATATGTTTTCATCTAACTGGGGGGGAAAAACCCACACCAAACCTAGTTGATGTGATAAGTTTTTGATTCAATCTTATATGGGAATAAAGAAAATTGGACTAACTGATTATACTGTGGTTGAATTAACCATGCCTTTGAGTGCTGTGAGAACTCAGGTGTTCAAAAGCACTCTGATTACTGAACGAAGAAGAAAAGTTGACTCATAAATATATGTTGCTTGAAACATAGCAAATAATATACTGTTATTTATGGACCTTGCAAGCTGCCCAAAATCATTTGATAGTAAGTAGATAAATAATCCTTCCCTCATGAACTCAGTCGGTTGTCTAGCAGAGAATAAACTATGTCTTCATGGCACAGATAGGTGGGACAATCTTCTCCACAGATATTTTGCATCTTGGAGAGCATAAAGCAGAGGTCTTCAAACTTGGTGACTTTGCTGGCTGAAGAATTCTGGGAGTTGAAGTCCCCAAGTCTTAAAAGTTTCCAAGTTTGGGGAGCCCTGGCATAAAGCATTGAGTTAGTCAAGGATCTGTGAAAGCAGGACAGCCATCCCTGCTGATTATCACCAAAAGGATAGTGTGAGAATTCCCACACTTTTTAATTACCTTCAGAATTTGGCCATCTCAGCCAAATCCAGGAATCTCCTATTCCTAGTGGTTATATCCAGGGATGGGCTTCAAAATTTTCAGCAACGGGTTCTCTGCCTGGTTGCTGGGTGGGTATGGCCATGGTGAGATGGTGGCCTAGTCAGCCTCCTGCACCACAGCGTGTGTGTGTGTGTGTGTGCATTTTTGCCTTCCCAAGGCTTTCCTTGAACTTCCGGGAGGGTAAAAACCTTGCTCCCCCAGGCTCTGGAGACCTTCCAGGAGGCCCATTTCCCCCACTCCCCAAGCCTCCATGTGGGCCCTACACTTACCTCACATCCAAAATGGGCCGCATGGAGACTCCTGGGAGAGCGGGGGGGGGGAAGGGCCAGCCAGGGTGGGATTTGAACTGGCTGAACTGGCCATAATGTTAGCTACCGGTTCTCCCGAAACCGGGCAAACCCATAGCAGCCCAGCCAGGCTTGTATCTCTGCTCATAACTCCCATAAAACCCAATTGAACTGACAAGCAAAATAACATAATAACAACCTCTTGCAACTCCTCATACGTAATGAAGAAGAAGTTCTCTTTGTCCTTCAAGTTCATCCAACCTTTAACATGGTCAAACCAGGATCCAAAAGGCACTGTAATTACAAGAGGAATTAGATGGGAAGATTGAGAGAAAAGTAGGCATAGTATGTGGACGGAAGAAGACCAAAATTTCTTCTACACCCATTCACTTACCGTCTCCTTTTAGAAAGTCCTCCAGAAATTGATCCAAGGTCCCAGGGTCTTTATAGGGGTGAAACATTGAAGCAAAATGATAGAGGGACACCAAGACATCTTTGGGGTTCCTGACTGTGTAGATCATCTATGCACAGAAAAATGTGGGATGGTTGGAAGATGTCGAAAAATTAAGACGCAACATCAGAAAATAGCAGAGCCCATGTGGGCAAACAGGCCCTACTCAAAATAGATTCTGTTCTTTTCCCTGGTCTGCTAGCTATTGATAAGTGTAGTCAGGACAAAATAATAATTATAACAAAGGCAGCCCTTGACTTCCAACCACAGTTGGGCCCAAAATTTTCATAGCTAAGCAAGGCAGTTGTTAATTGAGCCGCACCACAGGTTCTGACCAGTTCTGGAGAACTGGTAGCAGAAATTTTGAGTAGTTTGGAGAACCGGTAAATACCATCTCCGACTGGCCCTGCCCCCATCTATTCTCTGCCTCCCGAGTCCCAGCTGATCAGGCGGGAATGGGGATTTTGCAGTAACCTTCCCCTGGAGTGCAGTGGGAATGGAGATTTTACAGTATCCTTCCCCTGCTACATCCACCAAGCCACGCCCACCAAGCCATGCCCACCTAGTAAAAAAAATTGAATCCCACCATTGAGCCACAGCCCATTTTTGCTACGGTTGTTAAATGAAACATTGCAGTTGTTTAGTGAATCACAGTCGTTAAGCGAATCTGGCTTTCCCCATTGATTTTGCTTGTCAGAAGTTGGCTGGGAAGGTCCCAAATTGAGATCACTTGACCCATAGGACACTGCAACCAACATAATGCCGGTTGCCAAACACCCAGATTTTAGTAATATGACCACTGGGATGCTGCAACTGTCATCATAACCAGTCATATCACTTTTTTCAGTGCTATTGTAATTTTGAATATTGAATAATGGTTGTAAGTCAAGGACTACCTGTAATAGGCCAATTGTTTTACATCTAAAAGGAAATGACTGGGAATAGAACATAAGCCCAATGAGAAACTTTTTTCCCCAAGTCTTCTGAACTCAGAGGTCTCATTTAAATAGGACCACCAAATAAACTCTGGTTTGGCTTAGTGCAGTAATTTAATATTTAAAACTACAATTTTCCATAGAAACAGTATTCATTACTGTTTTCATGGCTTGTTCCTGATTTGGTTTGCACCCCACCCAAGACTCTGTTCAATTTACAGGGGTATCAGCCAAACAACTAAAAATCTGTTCATCTGTAAGATTGATCCTGGCTTGCTCCTGGTTCACTCTATAAACCAATTTTAAAAAAAAACAATGACAGAATACACCACACTAGGCCTCAATCCCGACTGTGCTCCGTCACCCAAGCTTACTAATGGAGCAACGGTCAAAGTTACAGTAAGATGGAAGTCTGCCGTGATCATAATTTCCCTCTTACCTTAGCTTTGGATCTGAAGAAAGACTTGGCAAAAAGACGGGCAGGCAGGTGAGAGCTAATAATGCGTGGCGATTTGTTGGCCACAGCTGTCCTGTATCCTATCACTGTCTCGATCCAGGGGCCTCGATCCCAATTGGGTGTGGTTTGGCACCAGGCGGGGTCTCCATTGCTACGGATGAGGCTTAAAATCTCCAGCATCCACACAGTTCCTAAAAAAAGTCCCCATCATTCCAAGAAAGCAGTATTTAATCCCTGTGCGTGTGCGTGTGTGTGTGTGTGTAATAAAGTGTTATATATAACATGGTTGTTAAGTGAATCCGTGTTCCACTTTGCTAGCCAGAAAGTCGTAAAAGGGGATCACGTGACCCCGGGACACTGCAACCGTCATAAATGAGTCAGTTGCCAAGCATCTGAATTTTGATCACATGACCATGGGGATGCTGCAATGGCTGTAAATGTAAAAATGGTTCATAAGTCACTTTTTTTCAGTGCCATTGTAACTTTGAACAGTCACTAAATCAGTGTTTCTCAACCTTGGCAACTTGAAGATGTCCGGACTTCAACTTCCAGAATTCGCTGGCTGGGGAATTCTGGGAGTTGAAGTCCAGACATCTTCAAGTTGCCAAGATTGAGAAACACTGCACTAAATGAACCAGAGGTGAGTTCCTACTGGTTCGGACCCGGTTCGGCTGGGTAGGTAGTAACTCGGCCCATGCCCCTGAACCGGTTCTCTCGGCAGCCACCATAGGCGCCGTCATCTTGTTTTTTTTTACTTCTGCGCATGCGTAGAAGCAATTTTTTCACTACTGCACATGCGCATGTAGCACACATCATCCCTGAGTGAACCGGCAGTAAAAGTATCCAGAACCCACCCCTGAAATGAACTGCTATAAGTTGAGGACTATCTGTACACAGCTGTATTTCTCTAAATATGCTCTGATCTGAGTAAAGGCCTGCTTAGTTTCACTCAGAAAGTTGCATCATCTGCCTTCATGCTACTGAATTGGTCTACAGGTGGTCCTCGACTTATGACCAGTTGCTTAGTGACTGTTTGAAATTCTGACAGACTTATCTGGAGGGTACCATACTTACAACCTGGATCATGAGACAACCCGTAGTCACTTTAACACATTTTGATGCTCGGTAACTGGACTGCATTATATTGGTCGCTAGCAGCATCCTACTGACGTATGTCATTTTATGACAATTTTACTGAAAACTAGCATTTACTTCCGGTTTTCGGCAAAACTGCATCAACCTTGGACCATTGATTCACTTAACACCATGGCATTCCCAACAGGATCCATTATGACTGTAATTCGAGAACTGCTTTGAAAGCTACCTGTTCTCTTAATATTTAGCAAAACCAGGCCAATCATCCGCGATCTGGATGGAATTGCCCAGGCCTAATCAAATCAAAATTAGAACAGCCTTTTCCCGAGCTGGTTGACCTCTCCAGATGTGTGCAGCAATAAACAAACCAGCTGGGGAATTCTGGGAGTTAAAGTCACACATCTGGGGAAGACAGTGGTGAACTAAGCTTATTTTCAATATTTTCCTTCTGTTGTTCCCTCGTTTTATGAGCTGCAATTCAAGCAGGGCTTCCCGGAAATCTACAGAATCCCAATTGTACAATTGCTCCGCTTACGGTAATTCTGAACAACAACAAAGGCATTTTTCTATATACATAATCTCCTTATCTCAGCAACTGCATACAGTAATTATGTATATACTTGCAGATTATGTATTTAATGGTTTTTTTTGAGAAGATAGTTCTTTTGAGAGAACTAAGAAAATTCCCGCCTGTAAAAGCCAGAAGACCCCATCTCAGCTGACCTCTCTTGGTGTCTAATCCCGTGTTTCTCTATCTTGCAAATTAAGATGCATAGAGTTCAAGTCCCAGAATTCCTCAACCAGCCATGCTGGAGAATTCTGTGAGTTGAAGCCCACAAATCTTAAAGTTGTCAAGGCTGAAAAACCCTGTTTTGATCTGAAGTTTCCTGGATACTTCTTTGAGCATTTTGGAAAATACAAATATTTATTTATATTTAATAATGAAGTGGCACAAATGCTTCCAAAGGATGCCATGCATATTATTATTTAAGCTCATACCATGTAATATCATCCATTTGCCCCTCTATCCTGTGCTTTATAAAAAGTTCCAAGTCAAAACATTTTACAAATTGCAATAAAGGAAAACAAATGTAAAAGCTTTAGCTATTTTTAAATGTCACACATTAACTGCTAGTGCTGTCTACTGTTGTGTTTCTTTTGTTGTTACTTGGTTTTTTCCCCCAAAAGCAGTGTTTTGTAAAAAAATTTATACTATTAATAAGTTAGGTCCCATATGGAAACTAAAGGGAACACTAATTCTATTTTTTCTTTTTAAAAACACAAAATCTATTCAACTTGCTATCACCCACTAATCTGAAGCATTTTCCCTCCCCACAAGTAGCTCAAAAAATTCTACCTGATTTCTGATAAGTGACATTGAAAATATCGTCATCTCGGACTTGGAAATCCTTTTCTACCATCTGCAACACAGGTTCTGCATAGATGACTTGAGGAAAACTGAGCCCTTTATATTGGAAATACTCTTTGAACATCCTGAGGCCCAGCAGATAACAGGAAAGTATTTGAAAATAAGTGTGAAACTTGGCGGCAAAACCAAAATCAAAGGATTCTTCCTTTCAGCCAGGAGAATTAGTTGTGTCCTCTGAAAATGAGAACAGATTTATGAGCGTTTGACAATGAGGAAGAGAAAAAGCAGCAGCATGGAGTGTCAGACAGAAAATTGGAACTCAAATCGTCTTAGTTCATGGTCTATTTGCGACTTGAAGAAGAAGAAGAGAAAACCCTCCAGACCTTCCAGATATGTCCAATTACAGCTATAACAGCCAGAATTTCAATTTGGAGGTTATGGAAAGCTGATGTGATGTAGCAAAGTATCTCTTCTCCCTAGTTAGCTTTTTTCTTTTTATTTGCTCTGTCTTGAGACAATAAGAATTTGTTTGAGCATTCTCGCACGCACGCGTACAGCTTCTCTCCAAGCTTAGATGCTATGTGTAAATCTCAGGCTTCATTTTTTTTTAAAAAAGCAGAAAAATCCCTACTGGAACGAATTAAAATCTCATCTAGGATATAATGAGAATTTCATTCACGTGTGGGTTATGGCTGGTGTTGTTTTTAATAAATTACAGAATTGGCAACTCCTTTTAAAAGTGGAACAAAAACTCTTAAGCTTCTTCTTCTGAGCAGCGTCTGGTCATGTTAGGAAGCTGTTAGATACAACATACTCCATACTCTGTGCTAGAAATACATTTATCTATTGCGTTTTGGCTGTTGGAGGTTAGTGAGAATTTTGCTAAGTTTGTTTTTAAGATAAGTGCTTCAAAACAAACTCAAGTTTATTTATAAACAGGATCAAAAGTAATGTTTTAGGTATATTTCGTTACAGTGCAAGATTGAAAATACTAGATTCTTTAAAAAAAAAACAGGAGAAAGCAAAATTAATAGATTAATTCATGTTCAGTTTTTTGTATTTACTTCCTTCTTTTCCTGAAAGAAACTAAGGCAGGAATTCCCTCTCCCCTGCTTTATCCTCAGAACAACTCTGTGAGATAGGTTAGCCTGAGAAGTAGCAATTAACCCTACCGTATATACTCAAGTATAAGCCGAGTTTTTCAGCCCACTTTTTGGGCTGAAAAAAGCCGCCTCGGCTTATACTCGAGTCAGTGAAAAATTTGCCCGAAATGGAGGAGAAAAAGGGGCGGGGCCATGCCTCTGGGTGACGCTTGTGAATGGCCCGGCGCCCCTGTGAGTTTCCCCTCCCTCTGTGTCAGTTTGCCGCGCAGCGCGCACCGCACCATCCCCCCTCCTCACGTTCTAATGTAATGCAGGGCTGTCTTACGATTCCCCTTCCTCCCCCTCCTGCCGCTCTGCAACGATGTCCCACCTCCTCCTTGTTATGGCAAGCAGCCACATAGCGATGTCCCACCTCCTCTGGTACAGTGATCCAATGATAGGAATCACTGTGCCGTGTGTCATAGGAGGCGGGACATTGCTCCCGCGGCTGCACGGGACATCATCATCACAGTGGGACATCAGCATCATGAGGTGAGTGAAGTATTTCATTGAATACACTGCTAGTTTACTGTTTTTCTTTGAAATAAATATTCAAAAACATTATTGGTATCTATTTTTATTTTTGAAATTTACCGGTAGCTGCTGCATTTTCCACCCTAGGCTTATACACGAGTCAATAACTTTTCCAGTTTTTTGTGGTAAAATTAGGTGCCTCGGCTTATATTCGGGTCGGCCTATACTCGAGTATATACGTAAGTTACTCAGTGAGTTTCATCACTAGGTAGAATATTGAGTTGGTTTCCTCATCCTGATCCAACATTATGATCACTAAACTACACTGGTGCACTAATTATGTCTTGTCTTCTAGGCCTGATGCTGTTAGAGTAGACAGTTCTAGAAAGATTAAACAGGCAAGAAAAAAGACCTTGACTGGGTACTTAATAGCATTAGAATATTAATTGTAATAACAATAATGCCTTTAATATCATCAAACAACAACTTCTGCCCATCTTAAGACTTTGATATCAAACTCGATTTCACTGAGGGCTGGATCAGGGTTGTTTAATCTCGGGAGGGAGGGGCCGGGATGGGGTGGGCATGGCCAGCATGACATCACTTGTGTTGGGGGCGCTTGTGATGGTCCAGGCATTCTGCCAGTGAAAACGGGCTCCTGGACTCCGTTTTCGGTTCTGATGGCCTCCTGCAACCTTCTACCAGTGAAAACAGAGCTTAGGGGGTAGGGGCGCAGCCCTCGCGAGCTCCGTTTTAACTATCAGAGGCACGGTGGGCCAGTCCTTCGCCGTTTCCAGGGCAGCCCCAAGATCAAGATCTAAGCTTTGAGTTTGATACCCCTGCAATAGGTGAATAAAAATGTTGATTGGCTGATTGTGCAGTTATCTATAATAATAACAATAACAATAAGAGTGTAGATGAAGACGTTCACTATAAAGAAAGATAGTCCTTGACTTATGACCACAATTGAGCCCAAAATTTCTGTGGCTAAGCAAGACATTTGTTAAGTGGGATTTGCCCCATTTTATGACCTTTTTCGCCATAGTTTTGAAGTGAATCACTGCAATTATTAAGTTAGTATCATGGTTGTTAAGTGAATCTGACTTTCTCATTGACTTTGCTTGTCAGAAGATCTTAAGAAGTGATCATATGATTCTGGGACATGGCAACCGTCATAAATATGAGTCAGCTACCAAGCATCTGAATTTTGATCACTTGACCAGGGAATCCTGCAAATGTGTAAACGTGAAAAATGGTCATAAGTTACTTGTTTCAATGCTGTTGTAACTTTGAATGGTCACTAAATGAGCCATGGTAAGTCAAGGACTACCTGTATCTGGGTTGGCATCATGCACACATAAGAAGAAGGTTAGAAATGAATGCATCATGAGAGTGAAGAAGGTCTGAAACTCCAAATTAAGTGCAAAAAGTACCATCAAGGCAATTAAACCTGGGAAATTCCAAGCATTAGATACACAGCTGGAAGAGTGGACCGGACTTATGCAGAACTAAAAGCTCTGGATAAGAAGACTAGAAAAATAATGACAATGAATCATGCCCTTCATTAGTGCAGCGGTGTTGACAGACTCTACTACTTACCAGGGAGTATATGTGGGCGTGAAATGTTTCAAGTACACCAGATAGCTAAAGAAATAAAAAGGGCATGGGAAGAATATCTGAAGGATAGTGAAGAACATGCAGTGAGCTTGATATACCATGAAGGCTTACTAGTTCCAGAGAAACCAGGCTGGCCTATAAGAAAGACTAAATGACATGGCAAGGCAAACTACTACAAGCCAGTATACCCCCCACCCCACCCCCCAAAAAAACACTAACAGGCAAAGGAGATAACAGCAAACCCTAACAATGCTAAGAGCGGGAAAGCTGAAGAAAGTAACGGAGGGCCTAATTCTGGCTGCAGTAAGACTTAAGAACAAATGCGTATAAAGCCAGAATTGAGAAAACAGAAACAGGCACCAAATGCCTGCAAAGAAGCTGAAGAAACAGGGTCACCTAGTTAGTTGAGAAGATTGTAGAAGACTGACTACAAATACTCTGTTTCTCTGAAAATAAGACCTATCCCCAAAATAGGACCTAGCATGTTTTTCTGCATACGCCTAATATAGGCTTAGCCCCCCCCCCAAAAAAATAAGATCTACCAAAGACCCTGTGCAGCTGGCTGCCCACCCATTCCTCTGGTTGCTTGAGGCCCCGTGGCCACGAGGTGAGTCAGGGAGGTGGAGCTGCCCCATGCGCTTCGCACCGGCTTACCTCAGGGTCCTGAAGTCGGATCATCCACACCCCGATATCAGCCTTGTGGCGGCAGCACCAGTAGCCATATGCAATAGGAGCCCACATGCCCGCCGGCCCATTTCTTCTGCTTGTTCGCGGCCGCAATGGAGCAGGAGGCTGAGTGGTATGCTAGTGCTGCACCCGCAAGGCAAGGCAGGTATCAGGGCACGGGTGGCCTGACTGCAGGGGCCCTGAGGTAAGCCAGTGCAGGGCGCGTAGGGCAGCTCCATCCTCCACTTCATGGCAGCGGCAGCGGCATGCCATGTGGCTTCCTGCCCCGCTGTGAGCAAGTAGAAGAAGTGGGCCTCCCATACATTGGGGGAGGGAGAAAATACCCCCCCAAAAATAACCCCTAGTGTTTATTTTGGGTCCCAAAAGAAAATAAGATCTGGACTTATTTTGGGGGAAACATGGGTGGTGGTATGACAAAAAGAGCATCAATGTAATGTAATAGCATAAATTTCACTTTCCTGCAAGCAAGAACTGATCGGAAGACAGAATAATAGAAAATGAAAAAGCAACAGTTCTCTGTAACTTTAGAATACAAACAGACAAGTACCTGTCACATCACGCCCCCGACTTAACAATTGTTGATAAGAAAGACAAAGAAGTCTAGACATTGGACATGGCAATAGCTGAAAATAGGGGACTAGAAGAGAAAGGAAAGGAGAAGTTCACAAAATGCTAAGACTTTGAAGCAGAAGTAGAATGATTGTTGAAAGCAAAGGTAGTATCAATAGTAAAAAAAATCTCCTTGGGTGCAATTCTAAACATCTGGAATGCCGTCGGCATTGACAAAAATCACCATCAGACAATTGCAAAAGGCAGCTTTACTCAGAACAGCTTATAGACAGACCATTAATACCATCAAACAACAAGATCTGCCTATCCCTAGGTCCTTGGTAAGGACAAAAATCCAGTCTAAAAATCTGGTGACTGTGCATCCATCCAGCATAATGCTTCAACTTGCTCCTTATTTACCTTTGAACCTTGTCCGATAAGTTATTTAGCTTTGGAAATGGAAGTCAACTGGAGTCACTTAAAAATCATGGGTTGTTGTTGTTGTTGTTTTGCTTCATTCTTTTTCTCTAAAGCCACCTGAAATAACTCCCACATTCTGTAACACGAAGAAGTACTTACTTTTTTATGATCTGAACCTGAGCATCAACCAGTTTCATTGGATGACCCTATCTTCTAGTGTTGAGAGAGAGAGGGAGAGAGAGGAAGCAAGAGAGAAGATCCTTTGCCATCTGCATCACTCATCATCAAAGACAGTATGTGGGATGAAAGCATACCCAGCACTGGAAAGGTTTTTTGTTTCTACTT